CCGGAAGGTCGTTCGATTTCCAGTCAGGACGTGTACCTGGGTTGCAGGTTCGATCCCCAGCACCAGCCAGGGCACATGCAGGAGGCAACCAATCAGTGTTTCTTTCTCTCTCTTCTCCCTCCCTTCCTCCCTAAAATCAATGGAAAAAGTATCTTTAGTGAGGATTAAAAAAAAAAAAAAAGAGGAGCCTGCATTAGCTGGGAATGTATGTTGTCGATGTATGCTGCAGTAATTACTACAGATAAGTGGAAATTGGCCAGGCATACTGTTTTTTGGAACAATGGTATGCCTTGGAAAATTCATTTAGAAGATACACAACTATGGTTCACCCTCTGCTCACTAGATCACCCTTTTGGTGAAAATAAAGCTTCAATATTTGAAAGCACGTTTGCTCATTTGAGAATCCAGCGTATTAACTGGTGTGATGGATTATGCAAGTAACCGAGACCAGACTTGCACAAATGTTTTCTATTTCTGTTTCTTCTGGTGAGATCGCTAGAAGCATTTTCCATGTCAGCCTCCTATTCCCTTTCAAGCCCACTATAGCTACCAAAACATTTCTGTTGGGTCCTGGGATAAAAGTCATATAATTACACGTTCTCCTGTGAATTGAACTGGTTGCAGGGTTTGGTTCAACAAATTAGACCTTACCTAAGTGGTTTCAACAAGGGCTAACCCAACCCAAATATGACTTCATTTGACCTAAAGCAGAGTCAGGGCTCTGTTGAGAATGTGACCTCCAATAAAGCCAAGAACACCTTCATATCTAAACTTGCTGGCCTGTTATTATTTGCCTGGCCTTTCTGATTTTGTGGCCCCTTTTATGACACTTTCATGACATGGCTTGTTGAAACCAAAGCTTTTATAGTATAAAATGGGTGTGTTATGTGAGATCATATTGTAAAAATTTTTGATCGTTAAATCCCAGTGTCCCTGTTGCTATGCATTTAAAAGTTTCCTGTAGTAGCCCTGACCCGTTTGGCTCAGTGGATAGAGCGTTGGCCTGCGGACTGAAGGGTTCCGGGTTCAATTCCAGTCAAGGGCATGTACCTTGGTTGCAGGCACATCCCCAGTAGTGGGTGTGCAGGAGGCAGCTGATCGATGTTTCTCTCTCATCGATGTTTCTAACTCTCTATCCCTATCCCTTCCTCTCTGTAAAAAACCAATAAAATATATTAAATAAAAATAAAAATAAAAGTTTCCTGTAACTTCTAGTACATCTACGCATTTCTATTACTTTTTAAAAATATATTTATATTGATTTCAGAGAGGAAGGGAGAGGAAAAGAGAGATAGAAACATCAATGATGAGAGACAATCATTGATAGCTGCCTCCTGCACGTCCCTTACTGGGGATCGAGTCCGCAACCCAGGCATGCGTCCTGACCAAGAATCGAACCGTGACCTCCTGGTTCATAGGTTGGCACTCAACCACTGAGCCACACCAGTCAGGCTACACATTTCTATTACCGACCAAGGGTTGCTGACACCTGCTCTCTCACCGGTGCCTGAGTGATGTACGGGATCATGGGTCAAGGGCAGCCTCAGAGCCACAGCCATCACCATGCTCCATCCGGTGAGACTGTCCAGCAGTTTGCAGTTCATTCTGTGCCTCAGTTTAAGGCCACTCTGCTTTGTCCTAAGCCAGACAAATGGGGTAGGAGGTGCAATGACAGGAGAAAGGGGAAGGCTCTGGGGAAAAGAGGGTTCTAGTAATAACACTGGTAAAAATCGGTTCTAGGCCAGTGTACCCTAGGGCATCTAGAAGAAGAAACAAAACCTATCTGCTAATCGTGGAGTGCTTTTAATTTTTTTTTTTTTGAAATGCCTTTTTATCTATTCTTCTACTTGACTCGCATAACATCCCTATCAGGGGAGACACACATTTCAGAACTTTGTTGTTAAGTCTTATTATCACCATTTAAAAGAGGGAATCTGAGCCCTCGCTGGTTTGGCTCAGTGGACAGAGTGTCGGGCTGCGGACTGAAGGGTCCCCAGTTTGGTTACCATCAAGGGCACATGCCCGGGTTGCGGGCTCGATCGGGGGTGGTCAATCAATGGCTCTCTCTCATCATTGATGTTTCTCTCTCTCTTCCACTCTGAAATCAAAAAACATATATTTAAAAATAGTAATAAAAAAAATAAAAGAGGGACTCTGAGCCCTTGAATTGGGTTGTACGACTTGCCCGCACAGGAAACATGTTATGGAATGAGGTGTCCTGGCTTCCCATCTGTATCTGAAGACTGACCTAACGGTAGTTTCTGGATCAAAGTTAGAATCCAGGACCAGCCAGGACGCTCGCAGCCTCAGCAGATGGCCGAGCCACGTGCTCCCTGCACTGGCTTTCACCTCCTCTGTTGCCAAGTGCACCCTCTGCAATGAACGGTCATGTGGCTCTTCGCACCACCCACGAACCCAAGAGGAGAAAATACTTCAAAAGCAGGCACAGTAAGACCAGCACCCACTGGAGATGGCTCATGGGAGGAGTTTTTAACGGGTTGTTCAAGTACCACAAAAAGAGAGATCTTTTTCCGTTACCCTGGACCTCCGATTCCAAACAGCCCTGTGCAAACAGACCCATGGAAAGACCCAGGTTTCTCCAGAAGGAAGGAAGGTGACCCTCCCTCTATGAATAGCCAGAGACACACAGCCCGTTGGCGTCTGCGCTAGATGTGCAGAGGGTCAGGGAGAGATCGGGCAGAGGAAGTGTCTGCCGTCTGTTTACCAAGGAAGCAGATGGAAGAAAACAGGGAACTCGAAGTATATACATGTGCGGTGAGCTTGACGTGGGCAGGGAGTTTATTCTGGCAGCTATGAGCACTGTGCAGGTGGGGGGGGGCACGCCTTTGTTTTAAAGATGAAGAATTGTTTATTACATGCTTTGGAGACTCTCAGAAGTGCCCGATCTAATCTGCACTGCAAGTATCTGTCGTGCGCTAAAACAAACATCCCTCCCTCCATATAAATATCTTACGTACCAAGACAGACAGATGCAGCAACGGTGAGAAAACAACCCTGCAAGGCTTTCCTGTCATGAAATGCAGGAGTTCCCCTTGTCAATGCAAGCGTCCCTGATACTGAAGGAGCAGGGAAGGGACCAACGAGCTCCATGTGCTAACCAGCAGGTCACCCGGAGCCAGGCAATGTCTACAGAACCTGAACACAAACAGGTTCCCTGGAGAGACTCCAAACCATGTGAGAAAAAGAGCCGAAGACACGTCACAGACTGAAGTCAAGCAAGAGGCTAATAAGAAAGACACTCGGCTTTCAGGTGGGGAATGCAAAGAAGTTTGTAAAGAAGAAAGCGAAGGAGAGAAGCATCCTGTTTCTTTTTAAAATCTTTC